CGTTACAGAAAAAGCAGTGGGGGGAAGAATGTTTTATTTACTTCACTGTAACCAAGAAAAAAAAAACAGTCTGGTTCTCCCCTAAGCAAGCAAGGCAGGATATAAGTGCGACCAAATGAGGAAGCGAACAATAGACAGATTATGTTATTCGATTTGACGGTGTAATACACTACGTATTGCTGATTGGTATTCGCAGAAAGAAGACGACCATTCAGTGGGCTTCAAAAAAGTGGCGCACATACATCAAACAGGCCGAGCACGCCAACTGAATGTTTCGGCTCAGGATCGAAGGACATAATGTAGTTGTGCATGCGTTTAGGATCACACCGATAAATCACCACTATGGATCTCCACACCGGTTGCCCTGGCGATCTTAGTAATCTTGATATGCAGTGTCACGTTCAACTGTACATTTTAAACAAATACACGAGAAGCTGCGATAAAATTTTCAAAAAATCAACAATGGTCGCTAAAATACTTCGCGTTTTCATCTTTCACTTGAGTTGATTTGCAATGTTTTCAGCCTGTACTGGACCAAATAGAGACCAGTGCGCAACGGGCCAAAAATGCGTTACAGTAGAAGGAAGCAAAGAGTGTATTGGTAAGCTTACCATAACTTCTGGAATATGGATGCTATTCATTTTATCATTTCAATCGTAATTTTTGCTGCTAAACATTTTTGGTAAAGTCTAAGTGCAAGTCAAACTGAAGCTGACAGGCACGACGTAGTGGAGAATACTATCACGGAAAAACTACAAAAAAAGCGACAAAGAAAAAAGATACTGGCAATATAGCTACCAGCCTTCAGTCAATGAATAAAGAAATCGCTTGTTACTCAATTTTGCAGGAGAAAATCCGGCACCTGAGCCTGGACCAGAGCCCAAACCCGAACCAAAACCAGAGCCACAGCCCGAGCCAAAACCAGAACCAAAACCCGAACCAAAACCAGAACCGCAGCCGGAGCCCGAATGCAAAGATGTAGCGCCGAACTGTCGCCATTTAATCTATCTATGTAACGACACACTTTACGCTCCACTAATGACTTTGTTGTGCGCGCAAACATGCGGCAAATGCGGCGAAGGTTAACCATATTTTTACTGTCTTTGCTTGCATTTTAATAAATCATGATTGTAATACGGAAGACAATACTTAATATTTGGGTCATGCGGAGCAAAATTGGCTGCCAGTTACGATACACAGATTTTATAGTGCATAATAGCAATGAAAGTAGCAAGATGATTTGACAAATAAATAAAACGTGGATAGTCTGTTTTAGCAATAATTCTAAGCCGTGGCGGGAATGAAGATGGATCAAGATGATGTGGAGAAAAGGAGGATGGTGGACAGATGAGAAGCTTAAAAAGA